GAACTTTTTACATGACCTCACCCAAAATGAAAACTCTGTCATCATTTACTCACCCTCCACTTGTTCCAAACCTGCATGAGTTTCTTTCCTCTGTTGAACAAACAAGAAGATATTTTGATATGCTGGTAACCAAACAGTTGATGGTAGCCATTGACTTCCACATTCTCTTTTTTATTGATTTTTTTTTTAAACATACTATAAAAGTCAATGCCATAAGCTAACATTCCTCAGAACATCTTCTTCTGTGCTCAACAGAAGAAGAAAAAAAAAAACTCATAAAGGTTTGGAACAACTTGAGGGTGAGTAAATGAATGACAGAATTTTCATTTTTGAGTGAACTATCCCTTTAACCAAAGTAATAGTTCTGCTAGACACTAGAACCTGACAAATTGCTCACCGAAAAGGCTAAATAAAAAGTCCAGTTCCCACCTAGTAATAATCCAGTTGAAGTCATAACACAAATGTAGCTTCAAACAAATTACATGACATGTTTTTTTTCTTTGCACAGGGATAGTACTATAGATGAGTAATTTTATTATTTTTCAGTCAGGCCTTATACGGTGAGTTGAAGTACTGTACTACTCATACCTGACACAGCAAAATGTAGTAAAAAAAAAAGTCACAAGAGTGAATACAGGTACAAAATAGTTTTTTTTTTTTTTAAATCAATATACTGTGGATTGCTGTAGGACTGTTTGTTTTACACTGGACATGATGGGACTCTTATCAAATAAAAACTTCCACTTCTGCCACTTCTGTTTTTATAGGATTTTCCTCATAAACGTGGGAATCTTCCTGTAGATTATTTTCAAACAAGACACAAGCATTTATTTTCTTCTTCTGCAGTGTTTTTTGCTTTGATACTATCTTGAGTTTCCTAATTTGGCCCAGTTTCCGTCTGATTGTAGAGTCATGAACTTTGACTTTCGCTAAAGCAAGAGAAGCCTGCAGTTCTTTGGATGTCATTCCAGGTTTCTTTGTGACTTCTTGGATGATTTTACGTTGTGTCCGTGGTGAAATTTTTGTGGGTCGACCACTCCTGGGACGATTCATCACTGTTCCATGTATTTTCCATTTGGAAATTATAGTTCTGACAGTGGATCGATGCAGTCCCATAATTTTAGAAACAGCTTTGTAACCCTTGCCAGACTTATAGTAAAAAATTATCTTTTCTTTTACATCTTCTGGAATTTCCTTTGATCGTGGCATTTTGCACTTGCTGAATCTTTGTGCTGATTGTAATGGATATGGATCAAAATCAGGTTGATTTTGAGCAGTGCTGTAGAATCACTGTAGTTACCAACCGCTTCAGCGAGGCATCTGCAAGAGTTAAAAAGAAGTTCTTTAAATTTGATCTCTCTGCTAGATCCGTTTTAAACACCCATTTAGGGACATTAAAAAGATTTAGCATGGACTATTTAGACAAACAGATGGAAATATAGTATAATCTTAACTACAGAACAAAAAAGATTTGAACAAATATTTAACTGATAGTTAATTTTTTGTATATTAATTATACAGATAATTTAGTTTATAATAGTTAATATGTATAGTAATTTAATTAACTATACATTTAATTTAGTATTAAATAAATAATAGGTAATAAAACATTTACGCTACTAAAAGTTTGAGGTCAGTCAGATTTATTTGTTTTTGAAAGACATTTTTTTTTGTTCACCAAGGCTACATTTATGATAGGGGGGAAAAAAAGTTTAAAACTGTAACATTGTGAAATATTATTGCAATTTGAAATAACCGTTTCCTGTTTTAGTATAGTTTATATATATTTCTGTGATGGCAAAGCTGAATTTTCAGCAGCCATTACTTCTGTCATCAGTGACATATTCCTTCAGAAATCATTCTAAAATGCTGATTTGTTGCTCAAGAAATACCCATTTCTTATTCTTATCAGTAGGCCACGGAAAAGTTGTGCTCCTTAATATTTTTGTGCAAACCGTGACACTTTTTCAGGATACTTTGATGAATAAAAAGTTCAAAAGAATAGTAGGCTATTTATTTGAAATACGTTAACTACTTTTAAATTGAACCTACTGAACCCAAACTTTTGAACGGTATCGTAAAACACTAAACCTTTCTTAATATAGTCAACCTTAGTCAAAAGAGGTTCCAAAATATATGAAATATGAACACACATCTACAATCTTTTTAGCAACAGCATGTAAGCGAAAAGGAACGACTGTGACCTAATAAAACAAAACGAGCGAAAGGGAAACGTCAAGGAAAGACAAGACAAACAGTAACTGACATCGTCTTAGTCAAAGCAGTTTTAAGTAAAACGATCATCTATTCAAATAAAACGTTTCTTCTTTCTGTGACTACATGTTCTAATTGACATGTCCTCCCAAAAACTTCACAAAAACATTTAGTCTAATCTTACCAGGCAGGTCTGTGTCCCATAAATTGACAACATCCTGATACGCCAAGTGTAAACGCAGCCTATGCTCGAGCAGCTGATTTCTTCGTCTTCTTCTTCTTCTTCTTCTTCTTCTTCGTTTTTTATTGGCGGCTCGCAATCACCAATTGAGCATTTCGAGCAGCTGACTGAACTGACTGAAGCTTCATAAGAGTCATCACAATGTGTCAACATAAGAGACCCCTAGTTTACAAATTATTATGGACTTGAGTTTTATATGCATGCATATCCACATCCAACATCTGTCTTTATGTATTCTCGTGTTACACAGTATTTATCTTATAAAACGGCTTTAGTTGTCTCAAGTATATGCTGATAATGTAGCTTTATAGGGACTGAAAGACAACTCAGTAATCAACTCGATTTTTTTCCCATTCATATAATATGATACACAGTAGCATCTGAAGTCCCATCTAATGTGAATGTAGTTGACATTGAAAAAAAAACTACACACCAAACATTTGTTAGGTACTTCTTTTTATTCCCTTCCCATAAGAATAGCCACATGAATGAGGAATTCTCTTATTTTGCAATCAGGCCTCACACTGTAATGAGATGGATGAAAAGAGGTCAGTACAAATATCTTACGTTAAACAACCAGTCGAGAACTGAGTTGCTCTAAATATAAAAAGTATTGTACTATTCATTCCAGACTTGTCAACATCATAACAAAAGGTAAAAAATGTGCCCCCAGGAGTAAATACAATTGTGATATTGCACAATAGTTTAAAGTACAGTATGTACAATTTCACATATAGTGGTCATGCTGCCGTTAAAACAAGTTGAATACACGAGCAGACTGCAATCATAACATGAGATACAGATGAGTAAATATATTATATTGTTTACACTTTCACTCGTATATTTACCCATAAACAATAAAATGTCAGCCTTCTTGAATTGTTGTGATAAAAAAATCTAGGCCTATATATACATTTAATAAAAAGGCCTATACATGTGCCATATGAGAGACAGCTGTGTTGAACAAATATTAAAAATGGTTTTCTTTCTTTTTTTTTTACAAGAAACCTTGTCATAAAAAGAAACAAATCACCTTCACAAAACATAAATTCAACATGTCTAAAGAATAATACTGTAAATGAAAAGGTGTCATATTATGACAATTAAAATGACCAAAGCTTTCTGTCTCCATTACAAAGAACATTTAAGTACTTTTTTTCTTCACAGATCTTGAGAACAAAATCCAGGCTTCCTCTAATACACATTATAGATGAGACACAATGAAAGGCTAGGTCATCTACAAAATATCCTCATAAAAATATATTCATATATTTCATTTATTGTGAACCTTAACTAACCTTACAATAATACAAAACAATGTTTAAATTTTCAATGTAAAAGAGGGATGAAGAATTTGATATTAGAATATAAAAGTGTGACTCAAGACTTTTTACACTCTCATGAATCCCTCATCAATCCTCTCCAAAAGGTCAATTTGAAAATTAATTTTTTAACAAAATGAACATGGTTATTGTCTGAGATGTGATTGTGAACACAGACCCTTCCAATCCTTTAACATTACACATAAAACCTTCCAAAAATTATATTAATCTAAATTATAAGAAGATGCATATCCACTGAAGGGGTGGATTCTTTTCGCAAAACCACATAAGAGAGCTGATTTGACAATGATCAAAATAACTCGACATCTCTATGAGATAATTATAATGAGCTTTCAGATCAGAGACTCAGAATTATTCCAATACATGGCAAATGTGTCATAATGCTAAACCTAGATATTTATAACAAATAAATACATTACATATAAATCTGAGGTTGAGCAACATCAGTTTTCTAAAATCATTCTGTGAACCAGCCTCTGAGAGAATGGATCATCTGTACGTAAATGACGTTTTATTTGACATTTTATTCAAAAAAAGTCAATAATACTTAAAGTTTTCAACACGTCGAAAGTAATTTCACAAAATGCACAGTGCAATAAATTCTTAAAATGTTGTAGCATACATATAAAATAAAATGTTCCATTTCTGAACATTTCTATAACATTGCTGTTCGGAACACTTCTAAACTCATAAATGTTGTGTCTACTTTCTTCTCAGACAAATAAATTCAAACAGCCATTTGAGTTGTTGGGATTCTCCTTTTACCTATTTATCCAAAATAAATTCTCCACAGACGGCTGGCTGAATCCTAAAGGCACCTTGAATTAAGTCATTAAATTGGATGTCAGTAGTCCCACCTTTTTCATATGAAATGACAAACACTGATGATACATGTTTGCGTTTTCATCTGCCAAATAGATGCCACCATGCCAATGCTTTACCACAGCCTGCATAAATGAATCACAGACAAAATGATCTCTCAAAATAACGTCTTTATGCCATGATACATGCCTTCAGCAAAACAAATACTTAAGACTGAGAGGTGTTTGGCAAGGGACAATAATCTGAAGGCTTCCACAAGAAATAAATGAGCATAGCTGTGCAGAAGGCTACAAACAGACAGAGTCGATTTGACATAATTCTTGGTGCATGCCTTGTTTTTCTTCCCTCGCTGATGATATACAATCTGATTTCATCTTAAAATTATATCTCTGTCATTGGTGCAATAAATTAAATAAAAATATTCATATAGAGCATTTAACAATTACAGTCTGTCTAAACATTTTCCACACGAGGACTTTTTGTAAGATTAAGCAAAAGAACACATGAAGAAAATGATTAAACTTACATTACAATTTTCCATAAAAGAGGATTTTGGCAAATAATTATGTTTCTGTAAAAAAAAAAAAAACACACATAGTGAAATGATTTATTAACATGTGATCCAGAGATTACACACTTAAAAGACTTCTGCCAAAACACAATAGAAAGAGACAAGCCTGTCACTATGTACAGGACAGTTTCTTAAACTGGTGATGAGCTTGATCCCAAAACATTAGTTCTGATACTCAAAAAAAGATTCGGAAAGAGTCTGTACACGCCCATTATATGAACCATTCTTTCTTGCTTTCGTCGATGGTCTCTGTGAAATTGGGCTCGGTGCCGATAATGGCCGCGTCGGCTGACTCTGACGACTCTCCCCCCTTGGCCTCGTTGGTGTGGTAGGTGCCTTTATGGCGGAACATGTACCGGATCAGAAACACCAGCGTGCACAGAATAGTGAAGATCACCACTGCTATGATACCTGCAAAGAAAATACATTCACCACTGTTAAAGGAATAGTTTTAAAGGAAAATTAGCTGAAAATGTACTCACCCTACAGCCATCCAAGATGTAGATGTGTTTGTTTCTTCATCGGAACAGATTTGGGGAAATTTAACATTGCATCAAATGGATCCTCTGCAGTGAATGGGTGCCGTCAGAATGAGAGTCCAAACAACTGATAAAAACATCACAATAATTTACTACGTAATCCATACAACTCCAGTCCATCAATTAACATCTGGTGAAGAGAAAAGTTGCATGTTTGTAATAAAAAAATCCATCATTAAGACATTTTTAATTTAAAACTTTTTAATGTCTCCTTGTTGTCCACTGTAAACAGTGTATCTGTGTATATTTCTCTCCTAATTCAGACGAGATGACTTTTTCACTGGAGAAATTAATATGGATAGAAGACTTCGGAAGCAATCTGGAAGCAAAGGTTTAAAGTTAAAAAGGTTTCAGTGATGGATTTGTTTCATTGCAAACAGCTTTTCACTTCATAAGACGTTAACTGATGGGTTGGAGTCATGTGGATTACTAGTGGATTATTGTGATGTTTTTATCAGCTGTTTGGACTCTCATTCTGACGGCACCCATTCACTGCAGAGGATCCATTGTTGAGCAAGTGATGTACTGCTAAATTTCCCCAAATCTGTTCCGATGAAAAAACAAACTACATCTTGGATGGCCTGAGGATGAGTTAATTTTCATTTTTGAAATAAATACTCCTTTAAAGGCAGGGTATGTGATTTTTCAAAAACACTTTAGAAAACTGATTCGGGCCGAATAGCAAAAAGGATAGATAACTTAAAAGAAGTCATTTTTCATCTGAATTAGATATGAATATGTTTCCATCTCACCCCCTATTATAGCTGAATTCCTATTTACTCCATCCGGTATCACTCTTTCCTCATTGAAGGGGAAATCAGCACCTGTAGGAGATCATAATAATTATAATAATTAAATGTCTATATACTTTTATAGTTTTAGTTAACTATAATAACCTTGATAGACTGAAAACGAATACATGTGAAAACACTGAACAGTCTGATGTGTCTGAGAAGAGAATGAATCATTTTCTCTTTGCCTAATAAACTACATTTACAAGTGGATTATTTTTTAAAGAAACTACTATGACGAAACATAATTCTTTATAACATGTTTGTCAGATACACAAACATATATTGGTTTAATCTGATGCACTAATGCACTTATAGCTGAGCAAAGCATATTTGTCTTTACAGAAGCCATTGTGTCCACTAACTGGCCATTGACCTTTTCATAATGGCAGGACACAGTAAAGGAAGGCCTGTTTATGTTGTTATGGTTAGTCGAATCTAAAATGTGCTACTGCTGCATTGAATTTTTGTTCTGTATCTGTTTTTCACATTTAAATCAGACTGAAAGCAATATAATGAAATGTGGCAGTTAAGCCGCACATTTAGGAGGGTTTCTATAAAGAGGTTTACAGCGGGCAGATCTCGTCGGTCAGGTCAATGCAATGCAATGATGCAATCAATAACCTAGCATTGGAAATTAAATGTCTTTTACACCACTCCTGGGAAATAATGCAGGACTGAGAGATTTTAGTGCATTTCTGGGACTTCAAGACCTCTTTTGTTATTATTTGGCTTGTTTAAATGTGCTCACCTGCGTCTAGGTGCCACGGGTCGGTTGCAGCAGACATGGGAGAGATCGTGAGGGGTGATGCTCCGCAGTTGGATTCCACCAGTTTACCCTGGTGTGAGACGGGTGCAGAACCACGGGACCTGAGAGCGGCTTTCAGAGGAGCAATGCTGTTGAACTGCACTCTGGACAGGCAACCCACAAACCCGGGTGTGTTGTATTTTTCTATAAGCACCGGATCGATGTAACCGGTTTCTGCAAGAAGAGGAGATACAGATAGGCATCTAAAGTTAGACTAAGAACAAGAGAATAATCAGCATCTAAATGTTTGAAACGTCAGAAAGCCTGAAATACAAGATAACTGCAGAAAACTGATCCAAGCCTTGTTCCAGGAAATGTATTCCATTTCACTGCAATAAAAGGATAAGATCAATGCGTGTTCATGTATAATGTACATACATCAGATCTGCATTACAATGTCATCCTAAAATTAAACCTTGAGGGAATAACTGTATCTGAACAAATGTATCATTTCCACTTGAATTACAAACATATTGATTATAAATTACTCTCTTCATGTATGCCCTTCCCATTCAATGGTTTTCACATTTTAAATGTAAACCATTTATTTGTTGCTACACTGAATATTTAAAGGCATAGTTCACTTAAAAAAATGACTCACTGTCATTTGTTGCAAACCTGAATGACTTTATTTCAGATCATTTTAATGTATAATTTGATCTAGATCACAGAATGATTTGTTCATGAATTAGATGGAAATTGTAAACACACTGATGATAGACTCGTAGAAATTCACAGCTCACTGGATTATCAGTGATTAATGACTTATATTTTGGTTTGATCCTAAAATAAAACAAAATATAAATATTAGATGAAAAACTTGACAAGAAATTAAAAAATGACAAAATCACATAAAATTAGTCACATGCGAACTCAAATTAAAATGAAAACTGAAAATATATATATATATATATATATATATAAAAATATACTTATATTTTTGATCCTAAAATAAAACAAAATATAAATATTAGATGAAAAACTTGACAAGAAATTAAAAAATGACAAAATCACATAAAATTAGTCACATGCGAACTCAAATTAAAATGAAAACTGAAAATATATATATATATATATATATATATATAAAAATATATATATATATA